ACACACACACACACACACACACACACACACACACACACAATGTATCATCGTTTGCTGTCTTGCGTACATTGAAGGTCTCATGTATACATACATGTTGAAATCGAAAGAATATGTCGTCTTTTGAAATATATTCAAGGCATAATAAATAATAAATAATATAAATTGTTACCTGGCAATAGGTTGGGGATTTTGGGTCTACATCGACAGTAGCGAGGTAGTCGGGTTTGCCCTCACTGTCGGCTGTACTGACACAGGTAGTGTAGAGAAGGCTCTCCCTTGGTCCATTCTTCACGGCATCTTGTGGACTCTTGTAACCAGGACCATGGCAGCAAGCTTGTTATGACAATTATATATTGCTATGTGTTATGCATTACTATTTATTGTTAGTCAAAATTGGCATGTACATTGAGCGCAAGTGCTTAGATATTTGTAACTAAAAGTTTTACTGCTGACATTCCCTCGCTGCTTGGAAACGTAAAATGGTGAACCACATTCGGCCCTTCTGTTGAGATTAATAATATAACTGAATGTCTACCAGTAGAAAGACATTTTGCATACGGGTATAAATTGCATTTTATACTTCTTGCAATAAAGTAACCATTGTTGTAAAATATAGTGGCGGCGGCACTAATCTGTAAGAATGGTTTCTTCAACGGAATGACGAAGGTGCGATACCAGTACGTCTGAAGACGTTATAGCAAAGTGTAAAGACTGTGTTTCACCTGGGAGAGTATGGCACACGCATCAAGGCCATACGACCAGGAGTAGTGAAGCTTCAAACGCGATCATGCTATTAGAAATTTATGTAAATTCATATCGATGTGTTGCTGGTAAATATGGATTGTTAAATAAACTTTCCTGGGGATAGATGTAGTATTTCCAACTTGAGAGAAGAAGTCAGAAAGAATGAGAAAGATGGAGACAGATGAAGAGAAAGGGTTGAGAGCGCGAGTAGGTAAGAGAGAAATAGAACGGCCGGTAGAAAGGAGGGAATATTTTCTTCACGTTTATTTTCCTTTAGATTGCTTATATGTGTCGTATCGAACACCCAGCTTTCAATTACAACTTCTTAGAGCGACCTTCTCTTGCACGATGCTCATGATGGATGTTGCAAGTCTAGCCACGGAACATGCTATCCATATACTGCTGCAGCGTCACGGTAGCGCCGGTAGCGCCGGTAGCGCTCAGTGCAATTGTCACTTGTGCAGTTGTGCATTTTGTAATTTGTAATTGCAATTGCAAGTGTGCAGTTTCAGTGCAGGGCAGACGCTGCAGTCACTAATTGGAGCTGCAATTCCACTGAATGGCATATATCCGCATTGTAAGCAGAAGCATGCGAGGTCCCAGTATAGGTGAAACACCGCCCGTCAGCGCATTTTATTACATAAGCTTTTACGATGTACCAGTACAGTACACAATCCATTATCCGATCTCTTGGGACCAGACACGTTTCGGAATTCAGATTTTTTCGGATTTTGGAATGGTAGTACAGTACAGATATACATACCGTATATCCTGCAACTAGCCAGTACTAAAACTTAAGTTTTCAAAACCAAGTTTTCAAGATACCAAGTGTTGTACCGGTACAGCATAATATGTATGAGTAATGCCAAACACTGATTAATATTTCTGCAGTGAACCTTATGCCGTAGTACCGTTGAGTCCCTGGAGCGGGGGGGGTGGGGCACTCGCCTCGAAACTGCGGGTAGGGGCGTGCCTCCGACGGAGTGACCTTCGAAACACCTGACCCTTCGTCGCAAAACCGCTTTCGCGCCCAAATACACCCTGTTTCAATATGCTGCCGCACTACAAGCATAATACCCTGGTTGCATATTCGCACCACCTTCGCGCTTATGTCCTGTACTCCTGCTCATAATTTATCAGTGCAGATATTGGACCAATATCCTGCCTAATATTGAACCAATCATCTGCTATTTGCTCCACATATTGGCCTTGCGCCCTCGGTGGCACATTGGCCAACATTCTTTTCAATATTAGGCCAATATTAGGCCGATATCAGCTTGATGGGTGGGTATCTAGATAACCCTGTGCCAATAAAGATGTTCAGAAAATATACCGTGCCACAATAATGATGTTCGGAAAATATACCCTGTCTAGCGGCACGTCCCCAGTAGTACGTGCCTCGCGGGCGGCGAAATTTGGGCGTTGAGTAATTGTCAAGAGTAACAGATCGACGTAACCATATAGATGTAGATGAGATGATGTGCAGCCAAACGCGAGATTTGGTGTACAGGCGACCTCCACGAAAAAAACCTTCGGGTTTCGGAGCTTTTCGGTTTTCAGAATTTCGGATAATAGATTGTGTAGATCGCATCGCGCATCCAATGATGTGCACACGCCATGGCACCACTGATCTCTATAATATAATCTATTATAGATTATATTTAACATTATATTATCTATTATCTATATCTATTATAATATAATCGATTATATTATAGAGATCAGTGCATGGCACACGCTGGCACGGTGAGCGCGCGCATACGCGAGACGTTTTCGTGAAGTTATCGCGATGCCACTCGCCGGCACAGCACGTCGTGGTGGCACGTGAGCGTAAAATTGAACACGAGTGAAAAAATATTTCTAAAAGTTCGTTCGAACGGAAAAATTTCGTTCAAACGGAAATAAAAGGCTCGCTCGGTAGTCTAGTGACTAATGACTAGTGAGCCTTCGGACTAGTAGGCCTTCGGACTAGTGAACCTTCGGACCAGTGACCCTTCGGACTGACGAGCTGTAATCGCAATAAAGTGTTAAACCGTTTGCTGGCCATAGCGGGTGTAGATCCCTACTTTGGAATTGCTCGATTTAGCCCGCAAAGAAACGATCAGCCTTTCCGCTGTCCAGTTATAAGAATAGATCTCTGGTTGGTGCTGAAAAGCTATAGTTAGCCTTAGTGTAGATTAAATAAAAACCTTTTTTGAAATTCAAGTGATTACCCCTGCTTTGACAGTAGCGAGCAGGCGTGCCGAAAATTATACGACGCTGCTTCTACGTTGGTCTATAAACTTGCAGTCTATAAAATAATTATACCGCTGATTTTATTTAGGCCTACTAGCTTTCTGGTGTTGGTTTACGAGCGCCGACTCCTCGTACTCTTACTCTCAACGTGCACGATGACTAGCTACAGGGTGCTATATATGAGCGTACTAATTATACTTCGTTACAAGAAGTTCATAAATGAAGGTAAGCATAGTAATAGCTGTCGGGCTTGAGCATGAAAAGTACAATTTTACTAAACATCATGTAATGTTATATGACAAACATGTATATCCTACTCATATCTTATATATTTACATGCACACGCGCGCGCACGCACGCACGCACGCACGCACGCACGCACGCACGCACACACACACACACGCACGCACACACCCACACTCATCTAATTGTACATGCATTTCTATATTTATTGTGCGTCACCTAAGATGTCTTAAAATGTAACTTATATTGTTATAATTTAATTATGTAATAGAGTGGACCATAAAATTTTTCAATCTTGTTGTTTGTCGTAGCAATATATTTTACAACTTCCATTACGTATTTCAGGTATGCCTTAACTGCAGCAATGTTTGGGCTCCTACCGCTTGCTTTGCATCTATAGATGACATATTTGGTGATTAATATTATAAAATTAAATGTTATGTCTTTCTCAGGTTTTCCTAGTATAATATCCATGGTGAAAGCCTAATTTGTACATAGCCGCTAAGCCCAACCACTGCCGCAAGTCCAACGATAACTGTACTACGTATTCACATTCAACAAACAGGTGGATCATTGATTCTATGTAGGATCCACAGAAGGAGCATTTATCAGAATCCTTGATATTATCAAGGGCAATATATTTATTTGTTGGGAAGATCTAAATCTAATTAGAATTTTCTAAATCTAGATTTAGAATATCTTCTAAATTTTCTAAAAATATCTAGGTTGGTTCTTGCAGTCTTGCGGTGTGCTTTTATTTGGTCATCCAGCGTTTTAATTTTTTGCTCTAATGGTTTTTACAATTCACAGTTTTTCCGTTTTTTACGAGAGGCATAAGAAATGATTTTTCCTCTGAGCTAGACTAATAGCGTTTCCCAAAATAGTTGATCCGTGATATTGAGTTGAATATCTTTACATGAACAGGTTGATATGTACTCTGGGTTATAGGGTGAGGCAGCATAAATGGATTTTACATTTATTATCTCATTTTTTATTAGTTTAACAAATTCATGGTCTTTGAGTAAATTTCCAGTATCCTTTTCCGTGCTCTTCAAAAGATGTGTTAAGAGTAACATTCACGGGAGCATGGTCCGATTTATACTTCGGGAGAATATACGCATCTGAAAAAATTGGTAATAGATTCTCAGTGGCCAGAAAGAAGTCTAAGCGCGCCATTTTAATATGGTTTCTTTTTGAAATGTTGATAATCTTCATGGAATGCTCTCCATATGTCTACTAGACCCTTCTCTGCCATACCTGACAAAACTAGGTTACGTGCTCTGGGGTTGTTAACCGCTTTATAGTTAAAAAGATATTTTTTCGAATCTATAACTAAGTTCCAATCTTCGCATAGGATGTAATTTACGTTACCAAAATCTTCAATAATGTTAAATATATTTGTATAAAATTCAGGGTTGTCATCATTTGGTCCATACAGGTTAACCAATGTAAACTGCACTTGGTTTGATAAGGTAATATCTAGGATAATAAAATTTCCATAAGGGTCCATTTCACATCTGTGTATTTTGTATTCAAAACCAGTATTAAATAGAACTGCCACGCCTCTCGAGTTTGATGTGAATGGACATATAATTGCGCTTAATACCCATTCTGCCTTGACCCGATTTACAAATTTGGAGTCAATATGAATATCTTGTAGACAGCACATTTTGTTCCCGAAATCGTTTGAAGAAGTCCCTACGTTTAATTGGATTTGCCAGGCATCTAGTATTTAGAGATTGTATGTTTAACTGAGCCATTTTATTACTGTTCTGTTTAATCTGTAATAATGCTGTTGAACTATGGATAGCATTGCTGGGCACTGGGTATAACGTGGCGTATAATATTTGATGTTGTTTAGACCAAAGTACGTTTGTACAGTTCTGGAAATAACGTTTAGGACACACAGACATAAAGCCCAAACGGTAGACAGGACGTACAAACACACAGGTATAAGTGCCAACTCCTAAATTGTTGGATTCTCGTAGAAGATTACTACTGTATAGAAGCCAGACACACATACCAGACCACATATACACGTAAACACTTCCTGGTGAGAACGCCATATGGGTGAAAATTAAGACTATAGCACATCGGCTCCCATCAGTATATTAATGGTACGAAATTTTATCTGACGTCTATCCCCGTCGTACATGACTTGAAACACCAATTAGCACTTTGCGAGTATCACGATAGCTGCCCGAGCGAACTTAATGTGAACTTGTGTGAAATTATGTGAACTTATGTGAACTTGCACACGCAAGGAATACGAGAAGAAGGAACGGAATAGCGTATTACATATTTATAAACGTCATTCATATACGTAGATATCTCACCATTGTCTAGCCAGGCCCGTAGCCAGCTTTATATTGGGGGGAGGGGTGGTTCGTTTTTCAATGTTGGCAATTTGCTCGGCAGGGGCGTGTACAGGATTTGTACCAGGGGGGGTCTAACTGTAACCCAACGTTGCGAGCACGCGAAGGGGGGCCCTCCCCCAGAAATTTTTTAAAATTAGACCCCCTCAGATGCGTTTTCTGCGCGAGCAAGGGGGTGGTCCGGACTCCCTGGACCCCCCCTGTACACGCCCCTGCTCGGGCGCGAAGCGACCAGGCGAGGAAGCCAAGCGACCAAGCGGGGGGAGGGTGTGGGGGGGTGTGTTCACTGTTCACCCTCCCGCACAATGGAGATTTTGCAATTATTACACTAAAATTATTATTTTTTGCTTGGGGGGGGCTCGGGGAAGGTTCGTTCGAACCCCCCGAACCCCCCCTGGCTACGGGCCTGGTCTAGCCATGTAGTTCCACATGTAAAGCACGAAGTCACTGCGATGTTATAACCGGATTTTGCTACCGTGTAAATATATGATTCACTTCTCACGTAATGACGCAGGAAACGGCTACAGAATACGCATGCATAGCTCTTACGATATGCAATATAATGCATACCATATATTAATCCCAATTAAGTACTTACCTGCAGGTAATGTAAACATAGACATATTTTACAGGAATCCAGCTAGTGAAACTAATCTCAAAATAACTAGAATGAATAATCTGAATGATAAATTTGATAAATAATTTCAGATTATTGACTTTTGAGGATATCTATGCATGGAGGTGCGGGTGCTACCGTCATGAACTTTGAGTGAGTGACATATGAGTGAGTGATGAGCACCAATGATTAGCCTAAGTAACTGAGCAGTGTGAAATAACTGAGAAATTTGTCAAAATTCGGCGATAACAGTGGTGTTCTAGCATACATCTTAAACATAAAAATACAAAAAATACAAAAAAAATCTGTATAGGATCCCTCGTCCGGTCCACTAATTTTGCTCGATCACGTTATATCAGGAGTAAGATAATATATAATCCTATATTATCTTACTCCTGGTTATATTATATAGCCTCTTGCCTCGCAAGTCGACGAGGCAAATATTTATCGAGTGTCTTGCCGTATGCCAATAATGACGACCTATAAACCTATAAGTACGTGCGCACTGGCCAAGCCGCGCTGCCCAGTTTGATGCGTATAAATAGAAGAACAACCTTTTTATTTAAATTGCGTGAGGAGTAAAAGTGACCGAATTAAAATAGGTTATGGATAAGCGATGTAAATTATTATACAATTAAACAAATAATCATGAAAAAGATTGCCAATTGTCAAATGCGCATTAGGAGGTTTCCAACAAGGAAGGTTCGAAACTATGCTGTACAACTGATGCTCATGCCTATTTGTATAATTATAACTACAGCTCATTTAGACCAAAATAATAACAATGTCCTATGTAAGCGACTATAATATAAGGAATTGCCTTATACCGTACATATCCACTTACCACTCATTGTATAGATCAATCACGTAGCAAAATGTGGCACTTGTCTAAAATGACTACCGCTTCACCTGACCATGCAGTGCTGGTCCAAAGACTGATTGTAGTGTCGTACTCATTGGACTGTCGATAGGAAAATAAAGCTCCACCCATCGACGAGTGCTGCTGTGCCCGCCCTTTACCGTGTTGCACCACGCTTCCGTCTGCCTGTCAAAAATAGTGACAGGCCTATCAGCGCGCACATGCATCGTTCACTTTTCCGCGTGTTGTGATGGTGAGGGAAGCGTGGAAATCTATGACCATACGCGCAAATTACGCGATATATATCCTCCTTTTCGTCTGTTTCATACCGCTGCACAACAGCGATATCATGATTTATCTAACTATGTTACAAAGTGTACTAAAATGGAGATTATCACGAATTACGAAAACGGACCATTACATACGACCAGACAACTAAATCTGTTATGTGTGAATATATAGCTAGCTATACATAGACCGGCCACACCATTGAGTGTGTATACTCGCATATCAGTTTACTTTGTAACGAAATTCCGCAGCCTAGTACCTACCTAACCCCGAGTCTGACCGTGACCGTGCTTAGATAACTGTATCTGGTCTGTATTTGTACTGTATACAGGCCCCTAGCCAGGGGGGGGGGGTTCGGGGGGTTCGAACGACCCCCCCCAAGCAAAAAATAATAATATATACTAATTTTATGTACTAATGACTATTGTACACTATTGTACACGCCATCCCCCCCCCCCCCGATAATAGGTGGGCCGGGGGATGCATCCCCCCCCCCCGCTATCTACGCCCCTGCACACCTCAGACACATATCCGCCCTACTATTACAGGGAATGAAAGTGTCAATGACACTGTAGCTTACAACTTAAAAGGACACAAATGAGTGAGTAAGAAGAAGTCAGTTTTAATTGAGCAACCATCGACGTACATTATAGAAACGATTGCCATCTGTATATCGCAATAATAATTTATACACCAAAATGAATCACAATTTGTGACCGTAGATGGCGCTATACCCGC